CCACCAAGCCCACCGTGCATCCTCACCACTATCGCCGCCATCCTCCTGCTGCGGCCCGCCGCCGCTGGCCGCCATCACCGTCAGAGAGAGATAGGGAGATCACATTGATAAAGTGAGCTATGTAGGCCAGGTTAGGTATTGGGGAGGAGATTTCTGACGACATGAGGAAATACCACACCTGCAAAACCAATAAAAATAGGATTTCGCTACAAATAGAACGTCGGATTTATTAGGATGGCTAAGCAAACATTTTTATGGCAAATTATGTTGTCGCGAGGATGTCAATTTCTATAGCAAGCATGACAAATCCTTGTCATGTTCATTTTTTTTGCTAGGTTTTGCCATGCTTACTAAAAAAAATTGTCATGCTCAGCACAATATAATTTGCCATAAAAATATTCAATTCGGCATGGTTAAAAATCCGACGTCAAATTTCTAACATTACTGTAAAATTACTGGAGAGGTCCAATAACCACTTGTTAGTGGAGAATTTTTTGGAACCTATCGGAGATGTTCTTAGTGAGTACATGTAATGGGGACACTTGGTGGGTTCTTATTTGTTCTGTTATGTGCACATGATCCAAGCAATTGTATATTTTTGTTCTCGTGGTTTTCTATACTACGGCGCGCTCAGGTTGTAACTACGTATACTAGTACCCCGCGCATGAGCGGATGGAATGTTGGCATTGTTTTTTTCTTTTTTTTTGCGGATAATGTTGGACGTAGTTAAACAAACTACACATTCACTAGTGCAGAACCGGCCTTTAGTGCCGGTTCGTAACGGCCTTTAGTGCCGGTTCGGCAACCGGCACTAAAGAGTGGGGACTAAAGGTTCTCCTTTAGTACCGGTTCGTCACCACGTGGCACGAGCCAGGCCCGGGTGCGTGTAGGACATTAGTATCGGTTGGTAACACCAACCGGTACTAAATTTTTGGTGGGGTTTTAGCTTTATTTTTCATTTAATTTTTTTTTCTGCTGGTATTTCACGATACTACAAATTATACACGTTATGCATATATATAAATAGATTTTCTCGTATGTAGAACCGCATATATAT